ACCGCCCCGAGACGGCCCAAGAAGTTCCCGAGATTGCCCAAAGACGGCCCTGGAGAGCCCCAATACGGCCCCTCAGGCGCCCCTGACGGGCCAAGAGGGCCCCAAGATGGCCCCAAGAGAGGCCCAAGATGGCCCCAAGAAGCCCCAAGATGGCCCCAAGAAGCCCCGAGAGGACCCAAAGAGGGCCACGAAAGGCCCCGAGAGCGCCTGGCATCACCAAGGAGGCCCCCCAAGAGGGCCGTCTAGATTTCTGAGCATTCCCGTTGATTGCCCTTCATCCCACGAGTTATATCTGGATGTGTTTCTTTAGCTGGCACTTTGTATTACTTTGCGTCGCCCCTCGAGTTTCATTTGTGCATTCCTAGATGTCCGCCAATTTGTTTGCGCCAGAGCTCGCCACGCGCGGGCTGCCAAAGTCGGGCCCCCGAGTCGGCGCACTGTGCCGGCGCACCCCCGAGTCGTGCACCCCTCGGCCGGCGGACCCGTCCTGCCTCGACGGCCAGATCGCACGCGGGTGCACCGGCAGCCTGAGCTGGACCACTGCGCCCGGGCACGGCGCGCGCCGTCAGCGGAGTCAGGCGGTGCGGCCTCCAGCTCCGACGGGCCCCCCGTGGACTGGTCTCCAGGTCGCCCAGCTTCGCGCTGTCAGGCTGCGCGGAGAGTGCGGCCGTTCGCGCCGCAGCCTCGGAGAAGGACACCCTCTCTGGCACAGACCGCAGCACGAAGCGTGCTGATTGTTGCCCCCTCGACTGGCCATCGCTCGGACGTCCATTCCCTGTGTTGTTTTCGGTTTCGTGCGTGGTTGGTTCGGCAAATCCATAAAGAATGCTCCTCGATGGTCCTCGCCGACGGAAAAATGCACACGTCCGAGCGATGCCAAGTCGAGGGTGGCCTGCAATCTGGCAGAATCCATCGCAATGGGCGGGCGCACAGTCAAACCAACAACGATTACAAGGAACGCTAAGTCTAGGTCGGGCGATCCTGCCCAGTCCTCTCCCGGGGCGCATTCTGCCCAGGATTTCAAGCGAATCCAGCGGTAGCGACGAGGGCCTCCGAGGAGGCCCAAAAATGGGAAAGCGATGACAGGGTCGAGGTATGGGTATACTTTCCTCCTCTAAGTAAGGTCCGACGCCCGTTCTTGGCCCAAACGCGCCTGAGGGCGCGAGGAGCGCTAGAGGAACAACCATGGAAGGACCTGAGGAGCAGCGAGAGCCCCTTCCAAACCCGAACTGCTCCTCGGCCGTGGCTCTCGAGAGGGAAGCGTGCCTGATGTTAGGTCGGGCGTGTCCCCCTACAGTCGGATTTTAAACGAAAAATGAAAATACTCAAAAAAAATGTAAACATAGTAAAACAATGATCGAATGTTCGCTCCCCGATTATGTTTTGCTAATTCTGAATATTCCTTCTGTAGAGGGACACGCCCGACGCAAGCCTGATGCAGAGACAGGGCAGAGCAACTCCGCCCACCTGCGGCTTCTCTGGGGACAGGTTGATCACGCAGTTGGAGATGAGGCAGTTCACCTGGCAACACTGCAGTGCCAATAGGGGGCCACATGCGAACCCTACCCCACCCTCCCCCTCAGAAATCGTGGGGGGTAGGGGTAGGGTTCGCATGTGGCCCCCTAACCTGGCAACACTGCGGTGCCAAGTACACGGATGCCCCTCTCCACGGCCCCCTCCCCGCCACCTCCCACGACGCCGCTCTGCGCCCCAACTGCACAGCGCTGCCCTTCCTGCGCCTCTCTCTCGCCTGTTTTTCTCGCTATAGCTCGCGCGCCCCCCTGCTTCACGAGATGCCTTCCGTGCTCAGTACGTCTGGCTCGCAATCCTCGCCCAAGCTGTGACCATTCCATCATGCACTGCGGTGGCATTTGCATGATGATCATGCAAGGCCCACCCTATCACCACACGATCGCCGACGGGCAAGTGCTCAATCTCGCCCAACCGGAACGAGACGTTGCTAATCCTCTCCTTCGTCGCATTGTTGCGGGCCTTGGCGATCATCTCGGGTGTCATGTCGACGCCTCGGAAGGGGCAGCGACACCAGACATTACGTCAAACAGAAGAGGACATCAACAAGGCAGTGTGTGAAAGCGATCGGGGGTCGTTGCCGAAGGTGACGCTCAGCAGACACACGCGGTCGGGCCGCGCCGCTCAACGCCCATTTGAGGGTGGAGGGGCGCCACCACGCAAGCCGCGGTCGCGCGCGTCAGCGTCTCTCCAGCGGGCCGAGCGCCTATTGCTTGCTGTGCTGGCGTGGACGCTCCCGGGAAGGACTGCCTGGGCTCATGCGCCATGGGGGGCTCTGTACACCGCTGCAGCAAGTTCCTTCCTTGACAAGACGAAGAAAAGACGCCATCCACACAAACTTTTGGCGTCGCGCGCGGACTTCTTGGAGCTGCGCTGGACCCCCCTCCCTGGCGCGCGGAACGCGCCAGGGGCAGCGCCAGAGGCGACGCCGGGGGGGCCAGGCGCCGATCCAAGAAATCCGCGCGGAGCGCCAAAAATCTCTGCTTACGGCGTTTTGTTTTCTTCGACGCCCTGCCTCCCCCCACGCCTCCCTAATCCTCCTCCTCCTCCTCTTTCTCCTCCTCCTTCTTCTTCGATTGACGACCCGGGCCCCGGTTTCTGGCACCGCGCGAGCGGTTCGGCCCTGCAGGAGCTCCGCCTGTGGGCGGTCCCCCCACAGGCGGTCGAGCCCGTCTCTTTCTCTCTCTCTCTCTCTCTCTGAATGCTGGCTTGCGTTGCCCGTTGCCGTAGGCTGCGCGCCCGAGGACCCGAAGCGCTCGAAGCAGCGCCCCAGAGGGCGTTAGACCTCGAGCGCCCGCCTGGCGTCACCGCCACGTCGCAGCGGCGCGAGCCTGCCGCGCCGCACTGATGCTGCGCAGCGGACCGCCCACCCCATGGTTGTGGCCTGTGGCCCAGGGTCGACCACGCCCTGCTCGTGTCTCCCTCGTCCCTCGTGCGTCAGTGGCGCCAGAGATGCCTCCAGGAATCAGTATCCTCATCCTGCTCTAGCACATGGCAGGTCCTCCCCATCATCCTCCTGCGGTCCCTCATCGTAGTCACCGTATTCCTCCTCCTCCTCCTCTTCCTCCTCCTCCTCCTCCTCCTCCTCCTCCTCCTGTTGTTGTTACTCCTGGTGTTGCTCCTCCTCCTCCTCCTCCACCTCCTCCTCCTCCTCCTCCTCCTCCTCTCCTCCTCCTCCTCCTCCTCCTCCTCCTCCTCCTCTCCTCCTCCTCCTCCTCGCACGCACGCACGCACGCACACTGAAGGCATGAAAGATTCGTTGCCTATCCCAGAAGCCAAAAGGAGGGACGAGAGAAGGGGAGGAAGGAAAGGAAGAGATCAGTCAGCGATGGGCCGGCTCCTGTTGAACAGAGCACAATCGGCGCCTCGCTCGACTTGGTGGTAGGGGTCGAGGGGGACCACAAAGGGGGCTAAATCAGAATCCACATCTTCCCCCTCCCCTAACCCAGACAGCTGAGCCAACCTCGCTTTGGCCGCCTCGAAGATGGCTGTCCCGAGGCACTTGCACAAGCCGGGCGGGTACTCTTTGGCAACTGTGGTCGCCCATGAGCCGTCGGCGAAGCGACCCTCGAGTGTGACATGCTCGTGCCGGCCATCGCACTGGCCTCCACCATAGCCCTGAAGCACCCCGCTCATAGATTCCCCATGGATCGTCAAGAACGTGGTTGGTTTTAAAGAGGCGGCCCCAAACATACACTGATGAATGTGGAAAAACTTTGCGTTCTGCTTGCCCTCAAAGATGTGGAGCTGGGGGAGGAGCCACGAAGAAGGGGCATAAGATCTGCTCTGGAGCCTGCTGGGGTGCTCCATGATGGCCATCACCCCATATTTGTAGCACACGTGGAGGAGGTAAATAGTGGTCCTCAACAGGTCGTTGCCGATCCTAAGCTGGCTCATTTCTTTGGGCCTGAGAGCTTTTATTCCCCAGGGGAGCGTTCTGGAGCGAATGGGCCGAGGTGGGTTACGGACTCCAGGAGCGGCACGAAAGCGAGCGACAGACCACGTTTCGCAACGCGGCCCCGCCACCAGGGCCACGACCTTCCCCGACCGAGTGAGGCTGGCCCACATCTGGACCACCTCCTTGTTGGCCATGTCCCCTCTCACGGGGTGGTGAATAATGTCGACCGACAAAGTTATGAGGCTGAATCCGGCCGCAGCGGACAAGGAGTCGAGGACATACTGCAAATCCCCCTCTCTTCTGGGGCCCGAGAAGAGGTGCAACGCATACTTAATTTTGCCCCCCAAAGGCCGAGGAATCCCCTCCTGTCTGCACAAAGGAGCGGGATCAGGGGCGATGGGATCAACACTGACAGCAACAGCACGCTGTCTGACCCTCGCGGGGGGGGGTCTCGCAAGCAAAGGGGGGAGGGGAGGGCCGTAAACCTTAATGGAGGGAATGTGGGCATAGTGATCAGGCAAATGGGCCGCCCTATTGGCCCGCTGCCTGGCCAGGTCAACTTCCCTCCACTGCTGGAGGACCTCTGGGCTGTCTCTTCCTGGCCAGGCCCTCCATTGTTCCTTGCAACGAGGCACCTGATGAAGGTGCTTGTGCAGCCGTCCAACATCGCGAAACTGCGTCATACATACCTGGCACATTGTGCCCGAAACCCAAGCTTCAAGAGCTGTGTCCTGATCGTGGCAACGGCCCCTGTGGGCAGCCAAAACCCGAGCCTTGCGTGAGTGAAAACCGCAGTCGTAGCAAACATACCACCCAAGATCCGGGGGCGGGGGAGGCGGCACAACCTCAAGGGGGGAACCCCTATTAAGCTCCGCAAGGGAAGTGTCAAGCAGCTCGACCTCATACAGTTGTTCCGTGTGAAACCTGGCTCTGGCAGCTCCCTGGACAACTATCTCCCGAAAATGGTTGGGGGCGGTCCTAGCCATTTGGATCCAATCTTGGAAACTTCCCTTACCTGGGACCTCAGACTTCAGGGCGTGCTGTGCGAGCCAGCCGAAGTCGGCCCTCAGCAACTCAGGCCACTGAGCCTTGACCCCCACCAAGTAGTCGAGCGCGACCCGCAACATGGGTGGGGCGTGCCGAAGGAGTCGGGGGAGATAACGTAGTCGTGCTATGGTGAGGGTCTCCCGCAATGTACTGCGCCTAGCTTGATGGTACACATGTGCTGCCGATATGTGTTCCTGGTCGTTACTGCCCAGGGGTAGTCCTAAGCACGCACGATATATCTTAGTATGATGGGCCGACAATATTTGCACAAGTTTTTCAGACATGTGACCCCACGTGGAGGCGTCGAAAAGCAGCCTCGAAGCCAAAAAGGCCTCGACAACCTGAACCGTGAAAGCCCGCGGGAGATTGGCTCGTCTAGCAAGCCTGGCGATAACTCGAACGTCCTTGCTCATGCTACCAGCCCGGTTGGCCACCTCGGCCGTGAAGGCCCCCGTGTCCATGATCATTCCACCCAGGACCTTGTGAGTCCTCTTGACAGGAGCCTCGATGCCGGAAGACGGCGCGACAATGACCATCCTGGATCTGTTGGAGAATTCAACCTTGGGCGCCCGCGAGCATTTCCCAGCATAGCGCAAGAGAATAACAGTCTTGCTGGTATTCACTTGCAGACCGAAAGCAGAGCAATCACGCACAATAAAGTCTAATGCCATCTCCGCAGCTCCCTCAAGATTGGCAGGGTCCTGAGCTCCCCCCGACACAGTGAGATCATCCACGAAAGAGACAGAGGCATGATGATTTCTCTGGTCGCTGTCGCTGCTGAAGGCCCGATCATTCTCTGCCAAAGGCGGGGGAGCCCAGCCAAGCTGGGCGAGACGCATGGCACATTCAACTGAGGCAACTATCTGCTCAAAATTCAAATTGAAGCCGTCTGTCGCCATCACTGTGCCAGGTCGAGTGCCCAACGCTGGTTTGACGTACTTGCTCGCTCCTCTCACCTGCCAATACCCCCCTTGCTGCGTTTCACGGATAAGCTGTAAAAGGTGAGCGTCATCAATTTGTCTATCGAGAATCGGTTTCCTCTGAAGGTTGGCAAGAACGGTGCTGAGCACGGCTTTGGGCATCTCTCTTTCTTCTAAAGCACGCTGATGGTCTAGCTCATCGCGCGGCAAAGACACAACAAATTGTCGTATCACTCCGTAGAAAGCTGCCACAAGATCAACGCAGATGATGAAAGCTGACCTGCCCTGCACCACCTGAGCTTCAAACATGGACCTCACAGTGTGCGTGGCAAAGTCAGTGGAACGATGTGGCAGTCCGCCACACTGAGAAGACGCTAAACTCTTGTAAATGTACTCCATAGCCCTGCTCCTTATAAAGGAGTGATGTACCTTGGACAGGGTATTGGATAGATGGATATTGCGCTGGGACGTCGCAAGATGCTGGGCCCCTTTGCCTTTGTAGAAGGCAGCCACAAATCCGGATTTGAACTCGCATGGCTCTCTGCAGGCCACAGCCGTCTTGACTAGAATGGGGTGCCATAGGCGAGCAATCTCATGAGCTGCAGCTGCCGCGACATCTTTGGTGATAGCATCTGGGCCAGCTGCTTTTCCTTTCTTGCCCCGTCGGAGCAAATGCACAAGATCATATCTATCAACCACATTTTGAATGTTCAGCTCAGGGGGCGGCGGAATGTGCTGAGCATTGTATTCGTCACGAATCTGATCAATTTCCAAATGTCCCCCCCCCCCTCAAGCGAAGCAAAAAACTGCTGAAGGTCGTCGGCGTCCTCCTGGGCCGTAGTAAGAAGATTCCCTTGGGGGTCCGTGCGAAGGGGGAAGGCGGGGGCCTTTTTGGGGGCCTTCCCGTTACAATGCAAGACTGTGTTGAGGTGTCGCCATGCCGAGCGGGGCAGCTTAGCATCTAGAGACATGGTAACATCCTTTGCCTGTTCTAATACATAGTTGTCAAATTCCTGCTTGGCACAAGTGGAGATGATCTCGCACGTCTGGGAGATGAAGCTACTGAGGTGCAGCAGCCATTCCTCGGCAGGGATGCGTTTCCAGGAAAAGTCAGTGGCAGCCTGGGCCA